CTATTTTTCCTTTGGGGGTGCCCTCCGGTTCCTGCGGGCTCAGCTAGCCTTACATCTCAACTTATTCCGACCTTGGGTTTGTCTGAAGCCTTAAGTACACCCCACTTGGTTGCAGTCGCACATGAAGCCCCACAATGAATTGCTTCATTTTTCGATTTGTCCCAAGGGGGCCCAAGGATAAGCAATTACCATATGGGGTAGAGGGGGGGAGGGGTCCAGGGTCCACTGGAAAAAATTGTATGCAATTTTATTTTGCCCCAGGAAGGTCCGCTGGGGAGTTGCGGATCCCAAGCAGGACCTCAAACACAATCTCTCACTACAACCACCTCATTGCAGGCCTCTCACTCATTCCATTAGTAAGGTTGGGTCACCGTGGTCCGTTTTGAACCCGACAACCGTGCGAATGTCAAGTTCGAGGGGCGTCGATGGTTCAATGAGAGCTTATGATCAAATGTACCGCGATTATTTTGCTCTCAAATCACTGCTACGGCCATTCTCTACTGCCAAAACGTCGCAAATTGATATTCCCCACATCGGATATCCTTCTCAAAAAGGGAATTTGATGGCATCACCGTTACGTAGGGGGGGAGGGGTAGGGTGAAAGTCCTAAAAAAATAAAAATGTAGGTGATATCGTTTTTGCTTATCTTTGGGCCCCCTTGATTTGTCCTTATTTGTTTTAATTGCTCTCGCCCGGTGTTGGCAGCATGGCCCTGTTTCACTGTTTTCAGCTATCCACGGCATAACTAGTGGATTTAAGCCTTAGCAATTCCCTTCCTGTGCCCCAACTATGGCACGGGCTGCCTTTTGACTGCCAGTGAAAACCGATCCTCCTTTATTTATGGCTGCTTGGATACCATGCTATCGCTTGGCAACCCCGGCACCACACAATCTCTTTTCAGGCTGCCCGTTCGGGACCCAGAGGACCATTATTGTGTTGGGTATCATGGTACTACCCATATCCTTATCGGTTTATCTGTCCGACAGGGCTTCTTACAGTTGTGCAGGCACCGTGCCGCTTGGGGGTGCCACACGGCTCGGCCACAATATTCTTTCTGCCCGATATCCTCGACCAGATTGTAATTCATGCTCACTTGCCTGTGTACTTGTTTTCAGTCGGCTGTTAACAAAGAAGTTGTGTAGTTCCTGATGCCAAAGTCTGAACTCGGGTAGGTGGCTATTTGACTTAGGACTTTTTTGGTTTCTTTCCATGCACTCGACCTCTTTGATAAACTAATGTGTATGTTTATAACAAAGTGTTGATGGGTGCCGTGGTTTGGTGTCAAGTATCATGTTTCCTCCAGTGTTGTCCTTGCTTTTGTTTTCCTTATTTTCTTTGGCTCAATCTGTCCCAAGTTCGCAAATTGTCCCTAAGCTACACCCTTCAACAATCCTCCAACGTTCAACAACATATCTCTCCATAAGAAACCTAGCTTCCTAAACACAAGCATATTCTACCCAACCTAAAATTTACGATTGAACTTCTCATAAAACAGTGCTAAGCCTTCCAGTATCCATCCGACATCCACGACAGCTTTCTCCCACACTCCCTGTGCGTTGGTGTCGGCTGCCTGCACACCCAATCCGCAAAAATACAGTGATGCGACAATAGTCAAAGTGCCGTTCACCCCCACTTGAACAACTGGCCCCACGTGTCGCTGTCGTCGGGACCGTACACCGAAGTCATGCACCATGTGCCATCTTCGTCCTTTGTCCTTTGTCCTCCATTCTGGCTGCAACAAGTCCCGCCACAACTGCCAACCCACAGCATATGTCGCCAGATCCGCCAGATCGACCACCGCGGTATTATCCCCCTTCCACCCACGGGAGATCTAGTTGCTGACCTGCTGAGGATGTTTCTTGCTGGTGAGATTGTTCAGCCCCTGTTTATATTTCAACACAGCTTCCACCCGCATCCATGCAGTGATAATGGTGTTGAAGTGGGGTTCAAGATGTTGCTTCATCATTTGCGCATACATGTCAACAAACCAACTTGCCGCACCTGATGGACAGGCCCCGCTCAGTGCAGGTCCAGTGGGCTGAGGGCCAGGGGCATGAGCGGGTACGCTCACGGGAGGCGGTAGCATAGGAGCCACCACAGTTGTGGTGACAGGAAGTGGTGTGGTAGAAGGAAGAGGAGCAGGTGACGATGCAGGCGATGGCGCAGGCGACAGTGCAGGCGCAACAGGCAATGTGCCAACAGGAGGGGCAGGCAACGCCGCAGCAGGCAGTAACGGAGTCAACAAATGACTCACAGATGATGGTGAGTCCTTGGTGGCACCGCCATTGTGGGGATTTGTAAGGCACTGTGATTTGTGTGTGGGACCAACAGGTGCGTCCGGCTGTGCCTTGCGCACACACTCCTTGGGGCGAGACTTGGTCAGCTTTACGAGCTCAGCGTGTTCAATGCGGAAGCACTTGTTGACGGCAGCAAGGATCACTGTGTTCTGCTGCCTGTTGGCTTTGCGCTGCTGTTCCCACGTTAGACCATTCTCATTGCACCAAATGGGAGGCTCCAACAACCTGGAGGAGGATACATGTGGCACCACACGTCCCTTCCCCTTGTTGTCAGCAGAGAGCTTCTGCTTCTTGTGTGCGCGCCCTTGGTCCTCGTCTGAGTCAGAACCAGAGGAGGAATCCCCGGAATTGCTGTCCGAGTCTGAGGTGTTGGCTGTTTTGGTGGCACCAGAGTCAATAGCATATTTTGCCCCTGCCAGACTTGCCAAATTTACACCCGGCGTGAGAGACATGGCAGCACATTCCTGTGGGGCTGGTAACAGCAGTTAGCATTTTGGTGAATGGGAAACAGAAGGCGCTGTGATGTGGACTGCGGTTATTGTACTCGAATCTGCCTGTGGAATTACGGTCAAACTGAAATACAATAGTTTTATTTGTCCTCTAGGGGGAAATAATCGGGCTAGTGGCGCTCTTTACTTCTACGGAGTGATATTTTTATGTGGTGGTGGTGGTTAATACAGATTTCTCATCTGCGAGTAGCAGATTTCGAGAAAGGCGCTAGGTTCCTCGAGAGTTTGGTCTCTCGTTGGGGGCTAGCCTTCCGAGAAAGACGTGATGGGGAATTCTTCTCCACTCGCGCGAAAGATTGGCGCTTCGCAATGCGAAGTACGCTTCTGCTCGGTAAACCCGGGTAATGTGGTGTTTTCGTATCTCCTTGCTTCGTATAGGGCACGCAAGCAGTTTCTTCAAAACTGGGTAAACCCAGCACCGTCAGATTGTAGCGCGCTCCTTCGCAATCTGAATATTGGTGCGTGCGCGAATAGCCTTTTTAGCTAGTCGAGTGAAGTGCGCCGAAACGGATGGGGAAAGTGGTATAGTTGAGTTGGTAAAAGGCGCCTTCTCGATAAATGCGCCCTACGCATGCAAAGTGTGTGTTATGAGCGCCGAAAGTCAACAGTTGCACACAGCCTGAGTAGGTCTGCTGGCTGTTTGGAGGATTGCGCCGCGCTTTTCTTCAACCGAACGCGCGCTTCAACACCTGTTATTTCCAATGTTTCCTCCTTTCTTGTCTTGGAGGTCTCTTGCGCAGTTTCTAGTCTGTTCAACCGCGGTCAAGGTGACCCTGTTACTCCACTCTCATGAAGGCACACTAATTTATTTGGTTTGAAAATGTACTGGATTAGCGCCTCCCGTTTTAATGGGAGCGCCTTTCCTTTTAGCAGTATGCAGTGGAGGTAATTAGATGCCTTCTCTCTTCCTCGCACCCCCCTTTTATACCCTTTCCGGCTTCCCCATTGGTCTAACTCCGGGACCTTTCTTCCCAAGCGCGCCTGCACCTTTTTCCTCAAACCGCGCCGGCCTTTCTTTTAGACAGCGCCCGCGCCTTTTCCTCCAGACCGCACCTGCGCCTTTCTTCAAACATCGCCCGCGCCTTTCTTCAAACAGCGCCCGCGCCTTTCTTCCACCAGCACCTTCTTTTCTTGTATATGTTCTCGTTGTTCCCCAGTCCCTAGCTATCACGGTCAGATAGCACAGCGGTTAGTGCGCGGACACTTGATGGGTTCAAGGGCAATATTCAATCTGCTACTAGAGTGTAGCACGAGTATCGAATATCACGAATATTCGTGCCAAGCCATTCGTGAATCGCGAATATTTGTATTCGTGAATTGAGGTGGCAGTGCTATTCGTGCAAATGTGAATATCAGGTTTTGGAGAAGATGATATTCACGAATATTTGTCGGGTAATCCTCGGTTAATCACCATGGAATACTGTACTATTTTAATCAAATGTCCAAGTGACAGGTGACAGAGGGTGGTAAACTGAACAAATTTAGTGCATGTAACGGCATCATTCCAGTTTTTGGGCTCAAATAGGGGTAAAGAATGCCAAAGGATGTCGACCGGCACTTGCCGGGCATCTATTTATGGTAATTTTGGGTGATTGCCGAGGAATGAACACCAAGCCGAGTGAACACCTGTGGTGACAGGTGACATGGCATGAACATTTGGTCAAAATAGTACAGTAGAGCAACCTCGGATAAGGAACGCTGACAGGGAGTTTGTTGTTGAAGACGACAGCTCGACAGCTCGTAGTTCAGTAGCTGAAATTGAACTCTATATGCATGGTATTCATGAATAACTCACAACTAATGAGTATTCAAACTCGCTGAATGTGAATAGTTGCCACTCACGAATATTCGCGAATACTGCTTACTAATCAACGAATATTCGCCATCAATACTCGTACGAATGCGAATATCACTTCTCCAACTTTGATGAATATTCATATTCGCGAATGTATATTCGTGCTTCACTCTATCTGCTACCCTCATTCGACTCGGGGTCTGGCCTTGCAAAATTTAACCACTTCTTTTTCCCAGTTCAGCACCTTTTTTAACTCACGCGTTTTTCCAGATAGTCTCTGTCGCGAGTTCGTCCCGGCGCGTGCAAATAATATGTGAAAGGTCGTTGGTTCAATATGGCGCTTTCTTGTTGGTGCCTTTGGTGTTTTGATAGTTATGCGCGACTTGTTTCAATCATCATGGCCAGATAGCACAGCGGTTAGTGCACGGATGTTCAATCGGCAGTATTCAATCTGCTACCCTCATTCGACTCAGGGTCTGGCCTTTAAAGCGGTAGCTTCGTTCAAGGAACGAAGCTACCTCTTTTTATTTGCGAAAGTACACCTTTCTTTGTTCTGACATCTGTAAGTGCGCCAGTGGTTTCGAATGCGAGCGCGCCAGTGGTTTCTGTGGCAGTGAATTCTAACCTCCGAGTGTGCCAGTCAAGTTCTGACATCTCCGAGTGCGCCAGTGATTTCCAATCTGCGAGTGCGCCAGTGACAATGCTTCGCCAGTGGTTCTGAAAGGCGCTTTTGTTCTGCACGGAAGGGTGTCTGGAGCTAATCACAAAGTGATAGCTCACAGCGGATGTTTGATGGGGCTAATGCAGTATTCGATCTGCTACCCTCGTTCGACTCGGGATCTGGCCTTTAAAGTGGTAGCTTTGTTCTTCCCCAACGAAGCTACCTCTTTTTCAATGGTGCGCCTTTCTATCTTGTGAGTGCACCTTATGTGCTTTTCCATGACCGCACCTCTTGTGAGTGCGCTTTTTTGTGGTTTTCATTCTGTCAGTGCGCCTTTGTGGTTTCCAATCTGCAAGTGCGCCTTTGTGGTTTCCAATCTGCAAGTGCGCCAGTGATTTCCAATCAGTGATTTCAATCTACGAGTGCGCCAGTGACAATGCTTCGCTGGTGGTTTTGTAGGCACCTTTTGTTCTGCACGGAAGGGCGTTCAGAGCTAATCACAAAGTGATAGCTCACAGCGCATGGGAAGATTCCGAATGGACTGTCAACCCCTTCAAAGGTGGGGAGCACGTGGAGATTGACAGCAACGAGTCAGAACGGAATCAGAAAAGGGCTCTGTATACTGAATGGGAAGTTGGTACACACTGTGATGTGGACTGCGGTTATTGTACTCGAACCTGCCCATTTTAATTACGGTCAGACTGAATCACAATAGTTTTATTTGTCCTCTAGGGGGAAATAATCCAGCTGATCGTGTTTCTTACTTCTATGATGTAGTAGTTAAGTGGTGGTGGTGGTTGGTACAGCTTCTCCCTCTGCGAAATAGCAGATTTTTGGGAAAGGTGCTAGGTTCCTTGAAAGTTGAATCTCTCATTGGGGGCTAGCCTTCCAAGGAAGACACAATGGGAGGTTCTTCTACACTCACACGAAGGATTGTCACTCCACAATGTGAAGAGCGCTCCTAGTCGGTAAACCCGGGCAATGTGGTATTTTCCTTATCTCCTTGCTTTGTATAGTCCGAGCAAGCAGTGTCTTCAGAACTGTGTAAATGCGACGAATGTCAGAGGACGGAGAGCTCCTGCGCGGCCGATCCACCGGTCAATAAATGCACCTAAATCTTTCTTGGGCAGTGTCTTCAAGGAATTCTGGGGTAAATTGTCCTCCAAGAAGGAGAATGTTGTCCAGAGCGAGGGAGTCCCGAGTGCGATAGTTCTCCACAGACGACAACAGCTCGCTAACAAAAGCGGCACTTGAAGCGACACCAAGTATTTGGCGTCGCTGCGGACGCAATGGTCCTCTCGTAGCTGCTCGATAGTTGGAAGGCACCAGATGAAGATTTCGGTCGCGATTTCGACGGGCAATGTCAAGATGGGAAAGGTCGCAGTGGTGTTCAACTTGTCTTCTACGGCTGCCCTGTCGCTTTGAAGCGCTGCAAGGACACGTTTCTGCTCGACGATTGCGGTGTTGAGCTCGACGAGCCGTCTACGGAGGTCGGCGGTAGGCATTTGAGGATGCCAATGAACGTTGAACAACTAGTACAATGCTGCAACGACAAGGTTGGACTGGGTCATGGGTGAGTCCGGTGAGTCACGGTGCTCGCACAAGGGTCAGACACGGCACGGCTCGATTTTAAACCCCGGATTTTCGGTGGAGACGAGCGACAGCTGGCGGACGCGAAAACTGGTGCGAGAAAGAAGGTGTTGAGCACAGCCACATTCAACAACTCTGACTTTCCCACGGTTGTTGATGCTAATGTTCAACCTTAACCACAAGTTCCATTTTCGGTCGTACAGCTGTTTGAAAAAGTTTGTAGGGGTTTCGTAAATCAGCGGTGCTCGGTTTTTGCTTACCAGTGCTTGGTGGTGCATCGTCGGCTAGCGTCGGCTGTCACCAACTTGTGGAGCCCGACTCCCAGAAGCGGAGTGCCGAGCAGCGGCGGGGCTTAGGTGTGGGGTGTGGAGCGACGACAATAGTAAACAGTGGTAAGCAGAAATCGAGCAGCAAGATTTTACGAAACCCCTACAAACTTTTGAAAACAGCTGTAATGTAACGAAAAGTCCCTAGGCGGTCGCGTCCTGGGGATGAGCAATGAGTTTAACGCCGCTTACACCTCCTTTTTGCAGCCTTTCCATGCCTTCCAAGATTCCGGCGAGCCCGTTCGGCAGGACTTCGTACCGGTTTCCCTGAATTAAAATAGTTCAGCGAGTTATTGAATGGCGAGAACAAATAAACTCACAACGACGGCACCCTTCGCCAGCATCTCCGGCAAGTTTTTCATAAGAAGCTTCCCGAACACCGTGTGCTCTGGCACCGCAGCATATCCAGCAACGTCGTCGCGTTCGAATTTCAGGACGTCCGGACCAGCATAATATCCGTGGACGCGCACTAAAGTTAGCTTCTTTTGCTCCAAATCTCGCTCGCTGTGCGCCCGTGGTTGCACAGTGACGAGCTTGCCCCCCTCCGCCACACAGTCGTATGCAGCGTTCAACGAGGAAACAGGCCCGGTGTCGTATACCACATCGACCGCCGGACTCATGGCAGGATGGGCAGATAAGGAATCGACGGACACCTCACGGCGATCGATACATTCAGTCGCACCCAGTTGTTTAAGATACTCGAAGTGGACCTTGGAGGCATACGCGACAATCCGCGTGAATCCGAGGAATCTGAACAATTGAATGGCTAGAGCTAATCAACAACAAATCGAGCGTCTGAAATAAATGCGCTTGCCGAATTGCCCTACTGACGTTCCTCCTCCAATGACGAGCGCGGATTTGCCCTGTTGCGGTTTGTCCCACGAAAACGTAGGATTGAGCCCGAGTCCAATGGGTGCAGGGGCGAACAAGCCAACACAAGCCGTAGAAAATGTGATAGGAAAGGTGGCCACTTCGTCGAAGCTAGTACCCCCAGGAATCTACAGCGCGGTGAACAGTAACTCTAGGATTTTTTAAAATTACGCACAGGAATGATAATCGCGGCGGGAAGGGTTGTATATTGCTGGAATCCACCAGCGAGTTAGTCTGTAGTTTACCGCGGGATCAATACAAGGAGGGTCCGGTTATTATATAATCATCGGAGTTTAAAATTCCCCTGTCACCATTCAGTACCTTCAAGGCATCAATTAGCTTAAACTAAGAGGCCATTCCTCTGGTAATTCCATTCAACTGCCTTCTGCCTCCTCAAAATATTCCCCAGGTCGTGGGCCATGCCCAGAAGAAATCTTCAGTTTGGTCAGCGGCCAACCCCTGAAAGCTCGGCATCGCGCTTCTCAACTCTGACACAAAACAGCAAGAGAGGAAGTTCTTTGAACCCACCCAGGGAGCATTAATCGACGATAAAACACGTCAAATATGCGTCTTGGAGAGCAATTGAAGTTTGAGAATTTTGATAAGGGGACCCTCCGATCAAATGTCAAGGGGAATCGACAGACTACAACAAACGAGGTACGAGTTTTTAGTTGTAGCGTCTGTTTATAAGAGACTACCAGTGAGTGCTGCAGCAAATCTGGAAAGCAAATGTAACGAATATATTCAATGGCGTCGCCTCCATGCACTTACACTCTATCTCCCTTTTTGAAGCTCTCTACGCCCTCGCCGATCTCTTCCACGACACCGGCGATGTCTGAGCCAAGGACGACGGGATATTTATCAATGAGGATATCGTATTCGCGCTGGATCCAGTTCGCGGGATTGAGGGCAACAGACATGACCTTGATTAGGACCTCACCCTTGGCGGGCAAAGGAATGGGGCCCGGCGCGAGCATGAACGGCGCATGAGGAGACTGGATGATGACGCTTTGCTGAGTAGACATGGTGTGCGAGAGTCAAGGTTCAGTATTTTGGATTCTGCATTTAAAAGGCGTCGTTGACAAAGGACACAAACGTGAATTCCGGTAAGACTTCCGAGCTGACATCGTATTGATTTTCATTTAAATTCTGGAGATGATGTGCCGACATAGTGCTGAAATAACTCACGGTAACATTAACAACAGACGGCACAAGTACACACTTTAGCTCTTCGGACCCACGAGGTTGAGTGGTTGAGCTTTGTTCAGGTGTGAATTCCGGGATATATCTGTCCTTATCAGTCTTACTCAGTCAAAATTTGGAGATAAATATGCCGACCGTGAGCTTCGGTAAGGCTTCCGAGCTGACATAGGGCTGTTGAATAAAGTAGGGCACCAATGTTGACCCAGGGAGACGACAATAAACGGTGAAAGTACACACTTTAGCTATTCGCTCGCGAAGTCCAGCTTGTTCAGATGCGCCCGTTCAACCATTTCGAGTTAAACTTTCAATGTCTTTTACTGGATTCAAGTTGGATCGATATCGATCATGCGACCCCCTACGGTATACATTGTCAGTCTTGGAACTTTTGGGAGGGTGCAAATGTACCCAGTGTGAATACTTAACATAAGCTTGAGACTCAACTCCGATGGAAATATGGTTAGAAACATAGTCAAAGCTGAGGTCATCGGTATTCCTCCAAGAAAGTATCCCATCGAGACGTGTGAACGACTGTCTTCATAGAATACTGAGATCGGCCTGCAGACTGCCAGGCTAGCGACAACTTCTAAGTTGGAAAATCTGACGAGGTTAAAATCGGACGTAGGTCTTCGGTGAAGAAACGCGACTAACACCCCGTAGTTGACTTGATGAATTCACCAAGTATTCTGACGCGTGGAAGATATCTTGCGCCTGGTACAACATAGGCAGACAAAAATGTCTCAGTCAGTACCAGTTTCTGTTGCACGATGGCCGCGTTAAGCTCCACGAGCGCTCACGGAGGCGTACGTAAATCTTCCGAGTCCGAAGCATTTCCC